ATAATAGAAAGATTTGGCTTCAAACATAACTAATTGCCTTGAGAGTCTGGCAACGCCACAGACAGTTGCATTTTTAGTGTTGAAAATACACCAATTTTCATTTCTATATATAGAGAATTTCTGGTTTGCACTCTCTAGACTCATAATTTTTTTAGTTGGAAGGGAAAAAAATACAATGACATGAAGCTCATGAAGATGGCAAATCTTTGTACTAAATGCTATAAACTGACTTTACAAAAAAAAAAATCACTTAGAGCCCGATAACTGTTTAGAGCGCACTCTATGAATACTTTTACCAATTGAGCTTTTCAGTCAATCTCGAACTGCCTCCTATACGAAGTAAAGGACTAAAGTTGTATTGTTAGATTCCAAAAGCTTTGTTAGTTAAGCATAAAATGGGTATACGCAATAAATTCGTTTTCAGATTTTTGAAGAGATTTCGCATTTTTGATAATAATATTAAACAAGATGGCATACAGCCGGAATATGCTGGATTTCCTTTAATCTTCTTTTCTTCTATACTGCCTTTAGCAAGATTTCTTAAATCAATAATACCCTAGGAGTCCTATCATTGACAGACTCTTATCGAAAATTTATCAGTATGATTCTAATCATCTTATATTATCCCAAAGAAAGAGGGCTCAATAGACCCTGGGTCGCAGTGCAAACCTCATATTCATTCTATCCCAAAGAAATCTACGATCCTTGAGGTTATGATTTTTTAGAAGTTTCTTACTGGTACTATGTTTTGACACCACAGAGATTTCCTCATATATGTATGATATTATCACTTTTTCTATTAGTATCAAAAGTACCAGTACTAGTAGTAGATTACCAGTACCTATATCAGTTCTAGTATTATTATCTATCAGTGTCAGTATCAGAATCCGTATTATCATGTGAAATTAAAATTCCTTGGTTGTTTCCGTTGAACCATCAATCCTTACTTAATTTGTAGTCCAATTTTTCAAGGCCATTACCTACAAGTGGTGGCCACAATGGAAAGAGACCAAAGAGCTAAAAATTTCCTTCTTCGGTTTCATCGCTCAAAACTGAGATTACTGAGAGATACGTGGATGGAGAGAAGTCGTCGAAGAAGAACTTAAAGGGAAGTTTGGAGTAAAAGTTTTCTGTAATGAGTTCTCCGGCAAGCAAAGTTGTAGGCTACTAGAACTCTGTAGCGTTTTCCAAGCAGAGGGCGATGCCATTGAGGTAGCAGTAGACTTATTGCTGCAAAGTAACATCAACCTACTTCATTAACAGACTCGTTTGGGTGCCCGGTTCTGCTTGTAGTTGAATCGCTGGAAACTGCAAAGTCGATGAGCTCGCAAGAGATGGTACCACTGCCCAGATTACAACAAATTGGCAACAAGCTGGGTATGCTCTGTTCTCTTGCGTCCTAGTGCTTCACTTTTGCACTTCGCGTGAACTTAGCAAGCGCTAGGCAACAACAAGCTTCTGTGCGACTACCAACTCCTTCTGACCTAGAGTAGAACGCAGGAGATCCACAGAACTGCTTGCTCAAGACTCATCTTTTCGCCATCGTAGGCGTTCTCACTGGATACATGCTATAAGGTAAAAAGTTTTGTCGGTCAAATATTGTAAAAGTTGTATGGAGGAAGGTGAGGCGAAAACTATCCAGATTTTACAAAGCTATGGGTGAAAAATCTCGGCAGTCATACATTCGCTGAAATTGGTGAAATAGAGGAAATTGTTAATAGACGCCTCAGCAAATTTGTGGCAAATTCAAGGCTATATGTCGACTTGTAAAACCCTTACAATACGATCAATACTGAAGAGGAGAGTATAGTGATCTATAAAAGAAAGTATAGTGGAGAGTCTAAGTTAAAACCAGAGCAATCTAAAGTGTTTCAATACTTTTTGCCTTATTTAGATTTTCATTACTACACGTTCATTTTTTCAGATCTATTTAAAAAACCAAGTAACCTCTTCAAAGTCATTCAATTTGACCAATTGCTTTGTTACCACCACAATAATGATGATAGATAAAGCAAAGAGCAAAGCGGCAACAAAGAAAACACAGACGATCTCGCTGAACAGATAGGCAAATT